CGATTAAGCTCTCGATTATGAAGTCATTACTTGGGCGTAATTGGACGCGCTTTATTGTTTTTATGGCTCATCGGCTTGAGAATGGCCGCTGTCGCAGCCATGTGACTGTGTGTGTGCGTGCGCGAAGATGACGCTCTGGATGCTACCAACTGTAGCAAAGCCTCATAAGGGAAATAAGGGCCGCCTTGAAAATCAAGTCAACTTTTTTTATTTTTTATTTTTTTTACCACGAGGGGAGCAAAAAGGGGAGTAAGCATAATCTGACGGTGAATTTGTCTATTTGTACCTGCGAACTGTGTTTGATTATCTTGCCACACAGTTGGTTAACCCTAATCAAGTTCCAGCTCGCCCGCGACCCGAATGATGACAAGTCGTCGAGTGAAACGCACGACGAGCTTTCTTATAAAACCGTTGTAGATAGGAAACTTTTTGAAAGTTTTTTTTTTTTTTTTTTTTTTAACGAGTCCAACACGATAAAAATAACACCTCACCAAGTCACAATCTGAGGCTACATTGAACACGCTCGTTAGTCCTCGTTAGAATCACTTGAAGCGCGCATTGTTTGAATTTGGCAGCCTTCATACCTTCCACTGAGAAAAAAAAAAAGAATCTCCTTTATTGTGCACCTGAGGTCTCGTTTTGTACAGTCTAATGTTTCTTTTCTTTTTTTTTTTTTCAGTCAAATTTTTCTGCGCGGCCACTTGAGATGCCTCGGAGGATGCCGAAGCGTTTTCCACGGCCCTTTCCGGTTTAACTGCTTTTCTTACTGAAGACTGCATCAAAGTGTTTGCACGAGGCGCGCTTACATTCCTCTGATGCAGGGGTGGGCAACCTAGCGCCCATGGCCCCATACCGGGCCCACCAGAGCATTTGATTCGGCCTGCCATGGTAAAATTTGAAATAAAAAAAACTTTTAGGGAACCCTGATCAAAAAAAAGCTCCAAAAGCACGCAGCAAATCAATTTCCATAGCCTACATCAGCTGACATTCGACGAAAGAAGCGGGGTGTTATACGGCACCGTCCATTTATTTCGTAGCGCCAACGTTTGATTGATTTTCACTTTTAATCCGAACTGATTTGACCAATATTTGCGAGACACTTGTCATCAACATTTGCAACTGTGCTCTAAAAAGCGTGGCTGAGTAGTTTTACTGTACTGTCATTTTATTTGCGATAAGCTTCACTCAATCGTTACATGGCAGGCAAAAGTGTGCATTGATGCAACAAAACAATCAGAGGAAACGACGCAAAGAGAAAGAGTCAATGCAAAAAACTAATAAATAAGAAGCAAAATAGTAAGTATTGATTCAACCGACGTGCAGGTGAAACAAAAGGGACGGACGGCAACGCGAGCTCATTTCCACATTCAAACGTGTTTTTCTTCGGAAGCAATTACGTCCAAACAAGTGCAAGGCAGCCGAGTGGAAAATGGAAGAATTCATTTCATCTCAACGCCACGCGACAAAGTTTTGACTTTTTCAGCGGAATGAAAATGTATAACCACGCACGCGCGCGCGCGCGCACACACACTCACACACACACACTGGCCAAAAATGTAGCACCACCATAGCGACGGGTAATTATTTTGTCCAATCTTTGTGTTCGTCATTGTTTTGAATGGAATCACTTTCTGTTGGCAACAATGCCACTGACTCATTTCCCCATCCAAAAAAAAAAAAAAAAGAGCAAAGTCGCAAAGTCTTCCGTCTCATTAGCGCCTCCTTTCTGCAACAGCAAATTGCATGTGAACTGTGAAAACCGCCGCAGACAGAGATTCTTTTTTTTTTTTTTTCTTACACTTTTACCATCCCCGGATTCCTCTTCACGCCATCGCCACTGACCTTTTGCCAAAAGCTGAGAGGGAGGAAAAAGGGGCCTCTTAATTGCCTCAAATGAGAGCCTTGTAGCTCCGATCTCATCGGCACTGGGAGAGTTAAGGCCGCCGGCAGGCAATTCTGCAGCTCGCGAGTCGTTCAGGAGGCGGGGGAGGTGTGTGGTGGCGGTGGGGGGGAATGTTTGGTCTCATGCGACTCGCTTTTTCAAAATTGGCCGGAAAACAAAATCAAATCAAGTGAAAAAGTGGGTTTTGAGTGACATAGGTTACACATAAAATGAAGGTGATGAATGATGGACTCTTACGTCCCCACCGGCCACCCCCCCCTTTTTTTTTTAAATATAAATAATGATGTTGTGCTTTGGAATTTGTGTAAAATCATAATGGTCGACTTCCGGTTCAATTTCAGGCATGATGAGATCCCCAAAAAGGCGATCCAATCAAGCAAGCCTCAATCGGGCGAAATCGCAAGTGAGATATTCGGATGATTGTATCGCTTTCAATTTGTATCTGATGAAGACTGCCAAACTAAATCCAGTTCAAATTTTAATCCAGATTGCCGAAAAAATGAGGAGATCACAGTCTATCTTGGAAGAGCGCTCGATGTGTCGGCAGAATTTGAATTGCCAAAAACAAGTTGCATTTTCAAAGTGATCGAGATTTGGAGCAAAGTTCAAATCAACATAAAATTGCCACCCTGATTGTTGAATGTTAACGTCAACCCAAATTTAATTCGGATCTGCTCCAGATTGCACTTTGGTCTGTTCACGTCTTTGATCACATTGGGCAATTTTCTAAGCCTTGGTGAAGGTCTGCATGAAAACAGAAACAACCCTGTCAGTAGCAGGTGGTCCCGATAGATTCTCTGTTTCTTCTCCTTGTCTTTACCATAACCATCAGAGCGAAAAAAAACAACCCAAACAAACAAAAGAAAAAAAAAATAGACCCGGGGGGAGGGAGGCCATACTGCAGTCAGATGGAAAATGACAGCTCTCGCTTTTCTCGCCATCGCCAACAATCAGGCGCACAGAGAGAGCGAGAGGGGCGTTTATCTGCTGAGAGCATCCCGACGCATTACCGGTGAAAAGTGGACTTAGAAAGACACGATCTGGAAAGACCAAAGGCATGCAAAGTACCATCATCATAATCATGGTAACAAGGATGAAAGAGAGGACTTTCAGGAAAAGCGAGAGAGGTGGAAGAGAGAAAGGCGAGAGTCAAGCTTCCGACCAAGGCAGCTTGTCAACCTGCTGACCGCGTACGGATTTTGCAAAAGCAACTTCCTGGTTGTCGCTGCGCACTTTGAACACACCAAATCGCGACTTTTTTTTCCAGCATAATATTAGGCGTGATATTTTTTTATTTTGGGTACCCAGCAAGTCAATATCCTTCGTTCTCTTTGAACCTAATTCGTGACTCAAGACGTCATTGATTACGGTGGCAAAGAGTTAACGTACAAAAAACAAAACAACAACAAAACAAAAAAAAAAACCCACAAACCCAACCGCGGATTTTGGGGATCCTTAACTATGAATGGATGCGTTTCTGTAAAAGTCCGCCTTGATTTTTTTTTTTTTTTTTTTTTTTTTTAAACCAATCGAATGAATCGAATGAATGGACTCGTCTGCACGAATCACGCGAGTTGAGATTCCACTCTTGTTTCCCGCCTCTGGCTTTTCTGCCGACTTTCTCCCTCTGCGTCAACCCATCTGTCTTGCCTCGCTGTAATCCACCGCGCCGATGATGACTCACATACTACAAAAGCGTGAGACACACACACACACACACACACACACACACACACACACACACACACACACACACACACACTCACACAGACAGACAGAACATGCCATCACACACACAGCGGTAGTTTTGAATAAAACATGAGGTCCACTTCACAGCGGGGCTTTAATATGAGATCTCCATAAATCAGCCAACACTTTGTCGTGGCACATGTGAGGCGCCATGACGATTTAATATGTCGGGCGGCGCATCGGAAAGAAGGCAAAACATTCCAAATGCATTAGCGGCGACAAGGGCGTCGTCGTTTCCAGCGCCGCTCTCCCCCCAGGTGACAAATGACGAGCCAAAGATTGTTTCTCGGATTTGTTTGTGACAACCAGGCGGCGGTTTCATGTGTGTGTAGTGGGTTTTAATTTAATTAAAAAAAAAATAAATAAATAATAATATTAATGACGATGACATTAAAATCTTAATCTTGAAGTTTCAGGAAAAAAATATTTTTTTAAATTTAAAGCGGTTAATTTTTCAGTCATTTTTCAGGTCATTTGTGTAATTTAAAAAAAAGTCTGAATTTTTCATGAATCGGATTCCACTTCAAAAAAAGTTTTGAATTTTAAAAAAAATATTTAACCTGCAAAAAAGGAGTAATGTTTCAGAAAAAAAAGTCAATTTAGAAAAAAAAAAAGTTGTAGTGTATAAATCTCAGAAAATGTAATCCTTCAGAAAAAAAAATCTTTTCAAAAAAGGTCAAATTCGATTTATTGATTTATTTTGAAGATGTCAGCCTGGATGTTCGAGGAGAGGCCAAAAATTCCAAAGGCGTTAGCCGTGACAAGGACATCATCGTTTCCAACACCCGCAAGTGACGAATGACAAGCCAACAATTGGTCTTTGTCGTTCCATGTGACAAGCAGGCTGCTGTTTTAATCGCGTGTGTTGGAGCGGGTGGTGGCCACTGGTGCAAATTCCTATTTTACACCAAAAATGTTAACAACACAAAATCAAAAAAAAGAGGGTGGCTGGTGCTGAAATTCAGTGCGGCGGAAGCAACCGCAGCCAAGTTTGAAGGTGTTAGCGGTCTCTCCTAATAGCGTAGGCCTGCTGCATGGTGAACAACTATTGCTTTTTTTTTTTTTTTCCCCTCCAGCTGATAAATATGAAAGTGTGTGTGAACAATGACACCAAATTTAACACCCGCTGGTCCCTCATGCCTGGGATCTTGAAACACAACCAAGTTACGTGATGCCGGAGATGAAAATGGCGACCTGGGTCCAATTTGGACAGTCTCGCAACGGGGTGTGCTCACTTTTGTTGCCGGTGGTTTCGAGATTTTTGGCTGTGTGTTGAGTACATTTGAGAGGACCGTAAACGTACACTCTTCTGTCGACCGTTCGGGAGGTTGTAAGCGAGGGGACTTACGATGGTGAAGTTCATGACTTTGAGGATCCAGATGGTGAGCCCCAAGTTGACCAGGATGAGGATCATCATCAGCAGGACGAAGAAGTAAAGGCAGCGTTTCCTCCAGCCGTAGATTCCCACTTTGTACACTTGCGCTTGCTCTGAACTCTGGACATTGTTCCGATGACTGCACTGTTCTTGGGTCATCTGCCAGGACACGAGAAGGGAGAACGGGGTCGGGGTCAGTGTCCGAGGCAAATGACAAATTCAAACCGCCACCCTGGAAATCGCGATGCTTTTTGGTCCTTGCGAAGAGAGATTTTTCCCGTGGCGGATGGCGTAAACTTCCATCCCGTGTGATGCGCGTCAGACCCGGCAAAAAGTCGAGTTGGCGATCACGTTGATCGATTGTCCCATAAAGCCCCACATAACGCCACCGCGTCTCCTCAGCCCCGTCGATGGCGTCCGATAGCGATTAATGATGACTCTAATTGTCTGACTCTCGAATCGACGCTCGGTCGTAATGGGCCGGCCCTAATACCTTTGCGGCTAAAATACAATTTACCGTCCTCTGCCTTTGGGCTATCAAGTGGCCTTTGACAAGCGAGCGCATAAGCGGCTAACTGAAACAAATGGCACGAGACAGGCGGCCCCGGTTGTGGACTAACTGGCGTGTTTTCCTTCAGCTTGCCAGGCGGATCTTATTTTGATATCCCGGGCTCGCGGACGGGAGGGAAATCACCAGGTGGCAGAGCAAAGCTAGCAATGAAAATTCAGATTATTCGCAGCAGGCTTCAACCTTGGCAGTTCCATTTCCGGGGATTTGGTTCAAGTAGTTTCCCCGCCGCCTCATGAGACCTGCTTCACTCAAGGCTCATCTATCAAAACGGGAACAAAGATGTGGCGACGACGACGAGCTTTACAATTGTACCGGCATACAGCGTTTTGAAGTCACGAATGCCGCGCGATGAGCTAACTTGCGCGGCGCTGTAGGGATACATGCTAGGTCAGTTCCCGCAGTGCTTGCTTACAGTTTTTCAATCGATTGTTCTCCTATTTGTAGCCTGGCGGTGTTTTTCATGCTAACCATGACTTTACGACTGCGTTAGCATACTGTAGGTTAGCGACAGACAATGGCTAGTTCTGATGACAAATTTGGTTTATGGTCACAGCTGTGTTGTGAACTAAAGGACGACCGATACGTCGATGTGAATGATTGAGTAAAAAAAAATAAATAAATAAAAATCGGATTCTTTGTTTCTTTGACCCGTTTTTCATTGAAAGACGACAACCCTCCCTGTTCACAAGGCGCAGCATCCGTTGACAAATACATAATAAGACTCTAAAAATAACGTTTAAACGGCAGACAGACATGAATATGAAATGACTATTGCTTCCCAAATGTCTTATCCATCAAGGGAGGAATAAAGACGCGGCGAAGACGACTTGGCAGACTATTTTGGGAGTGACATCGCCGTTAAAATGAGCGCTAAAAAAAAAAAAATTTGGGTGGTCATAATCAGATTTAATTGTCGTTTTGTCTAACTCAATTATTCAGTGTGACACGATATTCAAAGGCTCTCCTGAAAAGACAAGAAAAAAAAGTCCAGTGATGGCGCTCCAGTAATGTGTCAGGCTGAAAGAAGATCACTGTGCCAAAAGCAGGGATGGAAAAGCAAATTGGAGGCAAAACAAAATCTTGGACCTCGTCCACACACTGCTGCTACTTCTGTTGTTCAACCAACTGGAGAAGAAAAAAAAATTGCAGCCCCCCCCCAACCCCAAAAAAAAAAAATTAACCAAAATAACCCCCCAAAAACAAAAAAAAAATGGGTAGGGCTCTGATTACTCGGGGAAATAAGCTTTTACAAAATGTTAATGGGCACTTTTGAGTGCCAACTTCTATGGACTGCACGTGGACCCGTACCAGCCAAGACCGCCGTTGCCAAAGGCCGCAGCCCCTCGACGGCCGTACCAATCCGAACTGAGCAAATGGCCGCGAGCCAGCGGCGCTTTGTAATCCCACACAATGTGCGGCTAAACAAATCATTACAGAAATGCGATTGGCTGATTTAAAAGTTTTACCAGGTGCAAGTTTGAGGTCACGGAAGGACTCCTCTCCACCAGCCAAAGGAACTGTCTATGGGTTTTCAGGACACCAAGGGCGGGCCTGGAGGGATGGCGAGCTGAGTAGAATTCCATCCACCAAGTATTGGTCAAACAAAACAGTGACACGGAATAAATGTTTGTTTGTTTTTTAATATATATTTTTTTAATATCGCCAGCTTCCCCACAATATCGCAATATCATCATATGGTGACGTTTGGATATCGTTACATCCCAACAGTGGACTGATGACAGGTCCAGGGGGAACCCCGCATTCCTCCTTAACGGGCATGATGAAATTGCTCTCGTGCTATATTTAGCAGATTTTGTTATCCCATATTAAGTTCAACAGACTGTGAAAAAAAAAAGTCTCGCAGAACTCCATCACTGTTGTGGGCTTTTTTTTTTGTGTTTTTTTTTTTTTTTCTTCAGCAACTCGGCCCGAGGCAGGCGCCATCCCCGCGTCGAGCATATGAGTGTTTACGGTTCATGACACAATTGTGATTAAGATGTTAGCCTCTCACCGCGAGGTGAATGCAAAGAAGTGCAGGGGAAAGAAAAAAAAAAAGAGAGAATAAATACAAAAGCAATTTTGCGTCGCTGTCTTTCTTCGGAGCGGGTGGCGAGCCATGTGGCGTTGACCTGCCTTTGCCGGCGTTTGAAAGTATCATTTTTCATTAAAAGTGTGCGATTGTCCCGAGGGGGAAGCGCGGCCATACAGTAAATGCAACATTTAATTTCACTCTGGCCTTGTGCGATTAATTTCCAGCCACATCTTGATCGTTAACAACACCGTGTAATTGCTTGGAGCCAAACCGATGCTTTCCACGCTCAAAAAAAAAAAAAAAAAAAAAAAAAGCCTTAAATAAAACGCTCCTTGAACGTGGCGGGCACTCGCAACAAACACTTCCACGCGTATCACTAATTAATCGCCACTGAATAGCAAATGAGGCGCGGCAGGGAAATTGGGTTTTAAATCTTTTTTTTTTTTTTTAAAGAGGAGAAAAAGGTACGCCGACGCATCAATCTCGCAGTGGAAAAATGATGAAGGCAAAAACATGAAATTATCTTTGCATTGTAGGAATTCAATCAATGTCAAATAGAATGGCACCACTGTGTCCTTGCTTGAATAAATACTCCAAAGAGCAAATAGTGGAGAGGAAAAAAAAAAGTACAGGCAACTGAATAAAACTTTATTCTAATAATATTATCCATCCATTTTCTGATCCGCTTTATCCTCACAAGGGTCGCGGGGGGTGGGGTTGGAGGGTGGTTGCTGGAGCCCATCCCAGCCGTCTTCGGGCAGTAGGCAGGGGACACCCTGAACGGTTGGAGCAACCATCCGCTCTCACACTCACACCGATGGACAATCTGGAGTGTTCAATCAGCATGCCATGCATGTTTTTGAAATGTGGGAGGAAAGCGGAGTACCCGGAGAAAACCCACACAGGGAGGCCAGAGATGGAATTGAACCTGCTACCTCTGCACTGTGAGGTCGACGCGCTAACCACATGTCCACCGGGCCGCCCTTCTCATCATATTATTTCGGACAAAATATTTTGCGACTGACAGTAGCCCAGTTTGAGAAGCAGCGCCCTCGCCAACCCCCCCCCCCCCGCCCCCCGTTGCTACTTGGATTGTTATCTTATTTGCGCATCGAAATATCGCTCCAAATCAGAATTCCCAAGCATGTCACGGAGGAAGCTGTAAATTTTCGGCTTTTCAGCCCCAATAGCTCAGTTCGACGCTCGTACGACGTCATTTGGATCGTGAAGGAGCATTACAATCCTAATTGTGTTATTTTTGTTCCAATGCGAGCTTTTCCCCCACCAATTTAGTTCTCATCTGTTTTTTTGGGGAGCTTTTGGAGATTTCCGGGTTTGGGATCAATCCAAAACGTCGTCGTCGTCGTCATGACGGCGGGGGGCCGGTTCACACCAAGCCTGGCAAAGTTATTTCTACTTCCCCGCGATACTCCACCGGAGGAGGTGTCTTTGAATCCGGTCCAGGATTAAGGCTTTGAGATCGGGGGAGAGGAGTGGGGGAGGGGGGGGTGGATTTGGAAAGTCGAAGACGCCAAGAAAAACAGCCTTCCTGAATATTGCATTTTCGACTGACTGCCAAAGGAAATTAAAATACATATTGGAATTAAATCTACAAGCGATTGCACTCCGAAATGAGCCAAGAACAGAGCAGCGGCGGCTCGGATGGCACGGCATCGGAGACCAGTTCGGGGGGCGCCAAAAATCAGCTCGGACGGGCTTCGGGAACTCGCCACTCGAATGAGGACAAGCGCCTCGCGAAAATGGAGGGCTGGATGTCTCTCGTGCAGTTGACGGTTTTCGATCCAAGTTCAGTCCCGGATTTTTTTATTTTTATTTTTTTTCAAAACGCGACACCGGCGCTTACGTTTTTCTCTCGTGGTCATTATTATCCGAGCCACAGACGAGCATGCTTAAGCTACTTAGCACTCACAAAAACATTTCCTGCACGCGCCGCAGATTAGGAATACATTTAAAGAAGAGCAAGTTTCTCGTCTATCGACTTGTAAGCCTTCAGCAAGCCTTAACCGGCAGACAATTTATTGTTTTCTCGTTTTTTTTTTAAACCTTCCAATCTCTTCCTTTGCCTTTATTGTTGCTTGAAGAAGCAGCTTTGTCTGGGCATTTAAGCGTTGACGGTGATTAGGGAATTGTTTTTTTATTTTGTTTTCTTTTTAACTGTCTGCAAGCATTCAGGACGGCCAGAGCGTATGAGGATAAAAATCCGGATGAAAAGCGAAAGAAAAAGCCCAAGACAAATTTTCCTGTCCGTCTCAAAGGAGGATTTTCCAGGACAAGCGTGCGTCGTCGTCGTGCGCTTGAACAGATTCCTAATCGCGACACGGCAGCTTTGCGAATCCCGTTCAAGTATACAGCAACTCGCAGTTGCGCTTTGGAAGCAGCTCGCCGAACACTTTGTGACCACCCACCGGCACCCAAGTGTATTTTTAGCCAACGGGGGAGGTCAGGGCACTTGACTCGGGAGGCAGGAGGATTTGTCCGCTCGCTTTGAACTTGAGGTGGGCTGAAGTGAGCTTCGACAAACATCCGCATGAGATTGAGAGAAACGCTCGCCTCTTCCCGCGAGAAGAAAGGGATCCCTGTCGGTCGGTTTAGCAAACGACCGTATTTGATGCGGCCAAACTGATCATTGATTAATCACGTCTTGAGACAGAGTGGACCGCAGTAGTGAGGCAGACTTGCTAACCGCTAGGCCAACGTGCCGAGCCCAGATGTAAAAAAAAAAAAAAAAAAAGCACTCAACTGATTTTTCCCATCGGAGAACTAAGGAAGGATGATTTTTGCCAGCCTTGTTGGAGATCTGTGCTATTTTTTTTTTATCGCGTCTCAGCACAGCCAGTTCATGTCCTCAACGGCGTTTTATTTTTTATTTTTTTTTTTTTATGCAAAACACACAATTCCCGACGAACCTTTAATAGAGCAACTCCCCGGGCTGTCTGGCTCGTTTTATCTTCACCGGCGCTTTGGACGCAGTTCACGACGTAACGGTCCAGTTGTTTTGTTTTGTTTGGGGGGGAGAAGGCGGGCGGCGGTGGTTGGAAGCCATCTGAATGATCATTAGTATGCGTCAAGGTGCCACATTGCTTGCTGGCCTGCTAAAACAAGCGACGCTTATGTCGAGTGGCCATCGGTCTGGTTCCACTGTCAAGCGGCAAACACTCACGACACCGCAAACAAAGAGCGGTTAGCAACGACAATGTGAGGTCGCGCACCCGATGAGAGGCCGAGACGTAACTTGATGTGATGAGGTTAAAGGGGGGGGGGGAAGAAAAATAAAAATCGGATCAGTAACACGACTGTTTGGCACATTGAGTTGCCATGTGTATGAAATGTGATTTATCAAGAAAACGGCCTTGGCGAAAAGAACAAACATGACAATAGTTAACTTTTAAAAGAAATACAAGTCCTCCGTTTCGGTGTAATATTTAACAGCGTCATTTTGCAAAAAGTTCCATTCGGAGACCCGTTTTGATGCAGTTGTACCTTTTCGGGCTCGACAATGCAATTGTCATGTAACTTTAACGGCTTCAAGGAGAAAAAGTTGTGCAAAGTGGCACCATAAGTGCCATGCCGTGTCGCCTCCAGGGGCAAATGAGAGCACCGTCAGATCCGCTTTTTTTTTTTTGGGGTACTTTTTTTAGTGTTTGCAACAGCTGCCCTGAGAAGCCCGCACCGACTTGATGACGGACTTAAGTGTGACTCACGCCGCCGCGCCTTTTATTCAACGTGCGTGCACGCCGGCACTTCGACGGTCGTCAGGCAACGGCCGTCCAGCAAAGTGCAACCTTGAAATGACGACGCGGGGGACCCAGCGGCGATATCGGCGAAGGTGGGGAAACTAAATCATAAATCAATGCCGTCATAAACGTTCACGCGTAAAAAGCCGTTTCGGATTTTAATCAGGCGGAAAGCATTTTTTTTTTTTTCCAGATGCTTGATATCCGGCTCAAAGTCCATGTACAAGTACTTTTTGTCCTTGCTAGTAAGACAATTCGGCCAACGGGTACGAGGACTAGATGTTCATCTTAAGGCAATACAGCTGATGTCTGTGCACTACTAGTACAAAAACACATCATACTAGTCCCGCGCTGTTGTCAACAAGTGCACACTTTTCCATAGACGCAGCAGTAGTAGCGCGAGAGGTCAACGAGGTCGCAGTTTTATCTCACTAGTTGCCCAACTAGTATACGGGGGTTGCCTCACCGTCTTTCGACTCGTAAACGTGTTTCAAAAACCGGCTCGAGCATTTATTCGATTTAATCCTTGTGATCCACGTCCTAGTACGCCCTTTGTCCTTACGAGTTGATCAACAAGGGCACACTAGAAGGACTGTGTTTTACTCAATGTTTTTTCCACCACTGGATGACATTTCTGAGTACTAGTATGACAACTACTAGTCTTCGTATGAGTACTAAGAGGCATTTTGGCGATATTATGAGGCAGCAGGAGGCTAGTTGCGCTACTCGTGGAGCACGCTAGTTTATTGGGTTTAACTGCAAACCGTGCTTCTACGAGTGTGCTCGAATCATTCTACTAGTTGTCCTACTCGTGCGGACGAAGAGCACACGACGACTTCCCAAGGAGGACGCCTTATAAGGACGCCCCTGAAATGTTACGCTTGTAAAATACTGCCCGTTGGAGGAAGAAAAAAAAAAAAAGTTGACAGTGACTTGGGCTGGTGAGGGCGACGGCGTTTGGCGGGTGCGAGGCGGAATGAAAAACACGACGGGGACGGAGGGCGCGCGGGGGTGGCTGCGTGCTGTGAGAGGAATGGGCGTGGCCTGGTCCAAAAGCGGGTGACGCAAGTGACAGCTGCCGAGTGGCTTAGTTGAGGTATCCGAGGAAGAACTGAGAGCACTTCTAAACAAAGATCCCGAAGGTGGCTGGAGTCGATGGCACATATTTTGGCGCTGAGGCTAATAGAGGATTGATTCGCAGTCACGCTCTTTCTTCGCTTGTAATCAATAATTGCCGAAGGCGATCCATCTGGAGCCGCCACAATGAAACAGGATAACGAGACTTTCGCGATCCCAACTCTTGTTGGAACACTCTTGTCCATTCGGCATTGTAAGCCGACCGACGAAACGACAAAAGTGCACAGACCCTCCCGTCCGCGAATGTTGTCGGCACAAAAGGGGGGCAAATCTTCTCCGTCTCGATGAGCTTAATGGACCTGTCCCGTCTCCGAGCTCCGCCGATATTCTCGTTATAAACACGCAGATAATGAGAGCATGCCCAATCCCCAGGCGTCAATTGGCAATTATTCGTTATTTTTCACAACTGCATTGAGTAAAAGTCAGAGCAGGCAAACGAATGAGCTTTTATACACACGCACGCACGGACCAAAAAAGTGTTTGGGAAGACACTGAAGGCGAACAAAAGGACTCACAACACAAAAAATAATAAGGGGAAAAGAACATCGATAAAAGAAGACGCTTGAAAATGGTACAAAAAATTACAAGCGAGCAAGATTCAAGCACATTTTCGCCGCTATTCTAAAACAACAAGAGTGTCGAGGCTAGCATGCGACCATGGAAAATTGCATCAGAAAATGATTACAAAAAGGACTCACAAATGACTCCAAATTAGAAATAAGCTCAATTAAAGCACGTTTTCACTCTCGTACCACAGAAGGCGCGATTACGGATGAGGCGAAAAAATTAATTGAGCGGCTCGAGAGCACGCTAAAATATGCTTTCTGGAGGTTTAGTCAGAAAGTGAAGAAAATCCAAATGTTTTTATTTTTTTCAAGTGAGCTTTGAAAACTTTGGACCCCATCAAGATTCCAGACTTGAACCGGTCCCCCAAAAAGGCCTTGGAGCAAATATTGGCTTTGCTCGCTCGGCCACTCACTGGGCTCCCTGCAGCCGGCAGTCAGTAGCTTCACTCGGCACCGCTCAGCCTCGTCTAACTTATTTATAGCAGCTACCCTTTCCTCGGAGGGAAGACGCGATTGAAACCAAATGTGTGGCCGGGAGCCGGTCATGAGAATGGTTTCTTGCCTTTAGTCCTACGCTGAGTATGAGAAACACGAAATTGTGAGAGACAACGCTAAAAGTAAAGAGAGCCGGCGAAAACGACTGAGGAGACTTAAGAAAATCTGACAGCTGGTTTTCACTGGTTTCGGCTAAAATCGATGACAGATAATGCTAATAAATGTCGAGGCTCGGGAGCGAGCCAAAACAAGCAAAAATGCCACCCAAAGAAAATCAGGATGAAAACAATCGCTAAAAACGAAACTCACAACAATCACAAAATAAGAAATAAGCAAAAATGAACGACTTGTACTACAAGGGGCATTAGGTTTTCTTATCTTATCTTATCTTATCTTATGACAGACACCAAAACCAGACTAGCGAACAAGCTAACCCAATCAGACCCAAATGAGCAGATAGAAAACGATTCCCAACAAAAGGACACACAAAAATGACCAACAACAAGCTAAATTCAATTAGGTTTTCACAGGTTTCCGATGCCGACGGACAGCCTGGTGAGCAGGCAAAATAATAACCCCAAGGAAAAAAAAAAAAAAAATTGGAGGAAAATGACTGCCGGGACTCACGGTAACAAAATAAGAAACAAGCTACATTAAAGCTGCCATACCAAAGGAGACACAATTAGAGATTTTGGACAGTGTGCAGATTAAAAACAAGCGGCCAAAAATAATACAGAGTAAACGATTGCAAAGAAAAGGATGTACAAAGTTCGAAGCAAGCTAAATTCAAGCAGATTTGTATTGTTGCCCCAATAGACGCGACAGTAAGTCACCTTTGACTGTCTTGCAACTTTCTAGTTGCAATTTCGCAGCTAGGAAAGAGTTAAAGGGAATGCAGCTGGGCCCCCTTCCACGCCCACTGGACACTTCCCCAGCGAAGGCAAACTTACCATGATGTCTGCTCCGCTATTTTGCGTCCGTCCGTCCCTTTTCCTGTTCAACGTCCTCGCAATAATTTGCTGCTGTTCAAAAGAGGATGCGAGCAAAGTGGCCCCGGTTGAGCGACTGCACTTCTTTTTCACTTCCTGCTCAGCTTTTTCCAATCACACACGATCCCCCGGCCTCGTTTCACTCTTTCCTGGACGCCCGTGACACCAACTGTCTGACTTTTTTTTTTCTCTCCTCCTTTCCCTGTTGCTGTGCTGAGTGGAGTTGTTTCAGGCTGCCCTCTGACTTGTCTGCCTGATTTAGAAGCCACATGTGCTGTGAAGTTTAAAGGGGCAGAGCTTACTTGTCATACGTCGTCACGGCAAACCAGTCCAAACCGCCCCCCTTTTTGGCGGTATTAATAAGTTCGCTTGTTTTCACACTTGTATGACGGATAAGAATAGTCCATTTTTGAAATTGCGCAGTTACATGGCAGGAGCTGGGCAATATTAGATTCTGGCGGCATGACAACCGTACAAGTATGGCGATGTCACGGTATTACAGTGCGAAAATGACATTTTTTGAAATATCTGCCTAAATAAAAACAGGATAATATATATATATATATATATATATATTTTTTTTTTTTACTACTTGTCCTTGGGGCTAACTAATACCCGCTGGCATGACTATTGTTATTATTTTGAAGGACAATGCATATTAACAGAGCAAAAAAGGCATCTGTGTTTGAGCAGTCTCTCAACTGTCTTGCTCTCGCCCTTCTCCCCAATGTGTAACTGCTCGCCCCTCCCTTCTCCAGTCACCAAAAAGAAAAAAAAAAGTGTGTGATTGTTTTATTTTCTTTTAAAGGGTGTTAAAGCCCTTTTTCCGACTTCCCTCAGAGGACCGTTATGACGGTGAAACCAAATAGATTATGCAGGTTATACTCAACGAATTGAAAAAAAAATGGCGAGTTTTGAAATGAGAAGTCGAGGATAACGTTTTGTTCAATTTGGTGCAGATTTTGGCAAGGATTACGGAAGTCGACACACATGCTTTGTTTTTGCGGGCCACATAAACGCTGTGGCAAGCCGGATCTGACGCCGCACAGGAAAATCCGACCGAACGGAGTGCAAAGATGGAGCAAAAGCTAGCTTCAGGGATGCAACTGGATTAAAGTGAGCTGGTGTGAATGAAAACCACTATCAACTAATAAACAAAGCAGAGTGTCTGTCCACCCCTGCCCCGGAAAGTAACCATTTAGAAGGATCATCTGATTTGCATTAGAATGGCAACACAACAGCAAACTGCATTTTGTTTGGGGCGCACGGCGAGTCAAGCAGTTCGAGAGGCTGCGATTTCGAGAATGCAAATTCCCGACAGCGCGCCAGGACAAAGCTTCTCCTTCTCCCGTCTCCTTGGAGCTCCCACCCTCCGTGATCCCATTTGCTCCGCCAGACAGATGCTGCCCGTTCGGGTTCTGGGTGGGGGGGTGGGCGGGGGCTTTGATGCTGCAGCCAGCACGCTGGCTCGCTGTGCTTTTGTTGGATAAACAAGGAGGAAATTGGAGGCTGATTTTACGAGTAATTGGTGTTAACTGCAGCCGGCGTCCTCGATGAGCTTCCCTCGTGCCGTCATTGTTGTCCGGTGACCCATTTGGCTTTGGAAGATGCCTCGTAAATGCACCCGCATCAGCACTAACTGACATATTATGCAGGGGATTTTTTTTTGGGGGGGGGGGGGTTGTCTCCATTTAAAACAGTTCCCAGGTGTTTTACTAATATTGTGGTACCTTGTAGTGTTAGCTTCATTTGTTTTCTGACAAAGCTTGTAACAGTTTTCTCCCCATTCAAATGCTTTTAATCTGTTCTCAACCCCTCCCCCCCAAAAAAAATTTTTGTTTACGCTGTTAAGAGAATTATGGAATGAAGTGCAATTAAGCCAAAGGTCTCTCCCACACACACACACACACACACACACACACACACACACACACACCACGAATTCAGACGTTGATGTGTGCCTTTAAGGGGCGTGGCCTATTGATTGACGTCAGGAGCTGGAGTCGCGCAGTTGGTTCAGCGTTAGTTCAGCGAAAGTGCATTGGTGACTGTGGCTCTCCTTTCCCACATGGGAGGCCGCGATAAGTCCCTTAAAGGGGAGTTTGCAGTTCATTTCTTCATTTTTCAGAAAGCACTTAAAAATTAAAGTGGCAACATTATGCAAATTAGCCAGGCGAAATCCAGAACAGCTCATTCAAAGACACATTTTTGCAAATAGGCAGCTCAAAAGATTTACTTTGGTTGTGTCATTTTAATTCCACACGAGGCGGATGGGTCGGCACGCCGCCGCAAAGCCAACTATTTAGAAAAGAGCCATGGAAAAAGTCAATTTTCCACAATTTGGCGGAGTCATTGAGGCCAATGCCATGTTTGGGTTTCCATTCCATTGATTTCCGACATAAGCCGTGATGAAAATGCAATGCGGAGTGTGGGTTGTTTAGTGCGGGGGTGCGCAGGAGAAAAAAAAACAACAACAACACAATAGCAATCATTGTTCAGTAGCCGAAGGGGGTCCGGGAAGGCCTGAATCGCAAGTGGGCAGCAGAGCAAGGGAATGTGCTCGCTGTTCCCTGGACTGCATGTCAAGCATGAGCGACCATATTAGCTACACGAGCTAATCACATCTGTTACACAAGCTGAGGGGTGTAACGGTGACGCAATGGGTGTTTGTCTGCGCATTGTTTTGTTGTGGGTTTTTTTTTTCTTGTAGTGTTGAGGGTTTCTATAATTGGAACGTGATCGTAGTGGTATTATGGTGGATTAAGTCGGAGAAGCCCCCCCGGAAGGCCCAGGTAGCAAAAGCACTCGCCGCCAATATCAAAAGGAAGGGCGCTAATTAGTCCCAGATCGATTGTGTTTTGTTGCCACGCGACACCCCCCCCCCCCCCC